CACACTTACTTGTTATAGATTCCACATTTACAGTGTTCTGTTTTTTGTATGAGTTATGCAGAAATTGAACTTTTCTCTTTGTAGAGACATATTATTGGCAATTCTCTGTGCACTTCAGAAAAGCTGTTCAGAAAAGCTTTTGGAATTGAATAGTATCTGTTTCATCTGAAAATTGAAAGTATGAACCTTTCTTTGGAAATATGAACTCTCCATGCATCCCTCCAGCTGTAATAAATAGCTGATGAACACAGTGCCTGGCTGTGTTCCCTTGTCTTTTTGTTTATGGATCAGTGAGGTGAATGAATCAAAGGAATTATTGAGTTGTGTGCACATGCGTACAACTCAAAGCTGCAAGGTGCAATGCTAACGTAATCATCTTCTATCAAGCGAAAGCCATTGCCAAAGCATCCTAGCTTCAAAGGTATTTTCTCTAAAGTAAGAACCACCTGCAAAAAAGAACATTCTTGGTCTGAATAGCTAACATTATTTACTTTATTGACCAAGAGAGTTGTATCCTTTATGCAAGCAAATGCACTGTTGCATTTCCAACACAAGAAAAGACCAGAACTCTTGTTTCAGACATTTTGAGAAAAGAATGAGTAGTATTTTTTGGCAGCTGCAGGAATATATGAGGAAAGGTTTGATGTAATAAGGGAAAAATCTAATGGAGAACTTAATCTTTAAAATTTCTCCAATTCATTCTGTCCAGTTCTTTCTGTCACTGTCATAGGAAACACTTTAAGGCACTGTAGCATATTGTACCAGTATCACTTCTATGTGCCTTTCTACAAGACTGTTCAGTGACAACAGGTACTGGCTCCAGTCCCAGGTTATTATAATGAACCCAGCATGAAGAAATGGTAATGAAAATCAATCAGTGAACTGAGCAGCTCAGGGTGAGAGGGCTCAGAGTTCGATTTACATAGCAAGAGCTTTTTCTAATCATTAGCATGTTTTAGATTTTGTTTACAGGAAGCAGTGTTGACTAGAGTCAAGTCTTGCTAATCTGTAATTTTCTGAGCCACACATTTTATAAGAAGCAGAGAAAAGTTCATGGTCATTCCATATCCTTTCACTGAGATTTGTCAGGAGGTAGGATCTTAGAAAATTAGGGTTGGAAGGGACCTCAGGAGGTCATCTAGTCCAACCCCCTGCTCAAAGCAGGACCACCCTTAACTAAATCATCTCAGTCAAGGCTTTGTCTAGCCAGGTCTTAAAAACCTCCAATGATGGAGAGTCTACCACCTCTCTAGGTAACCTGTTCAGTGCTTTACTACTGTCCACATGAGAGAGTTTTTCTTAATATCCAACCTAAACTTCCCTTCCTGCAACTTGAGACAGTTGGGGGGAGTGGAGACTTGGGGGGAAGTGGGCAGCGGAGTCCCCCAGGGCTCGGTCCTTGGGCCCACACCATTCAATTTCTTTATCAGCGATTTGGACGACGGGGTGAAAAGCAACCTGTTCAAATTTGCTGATGATACCAAAATTTGGGGTGAGGTGGGCACGCTAGTAGGGAGGGAAAGACTGCAGAAAGACCTGGATAGGTTGCAAGGGTGGGCTAACAAAAACAGGATGTGTTTCAATACGGACAAGTGCAGGGTGCTGCACTTGGGCAGTAGTAACCGGCAGCACACTTATAAGATGGGAAACTCCCTTCTTGAGAGCACGGAGGCAGAAAGGGATCTTGGAGTCATCATTGACTCCAAGATGAACATGGGCCGACAATGCGAGGTCACGGTCGGCAGGGCTAACCGGACCCTATCGTGCATCCACAGGTGCATCTCAAGTAGGGCCAAGGAGGTGATCCTCCCCCTCTACGCGACACTGGTCAGGCCGCAGCTGGAGTACTGTGCCCAGTTCTGGGCCCAGCACTCAAAGAGGGATGTGGACAACATGGAGAGGGTCCAGAGGAGGGCCACCCGCATGATCCGGGGACAGCAGGGCAGACCCTACAATGAGAGGCTACGGGACCTGAACCTGCTCAGCCTTCACAAGAGAAGGCTGAGGGGGGACCTTGTGACCGTCTATAAACTCACTAGGGGGGACCAGAAGGGTTTGGGGGAGACCTTGTTTCCCCTAGTGCCCCCCGGGATAACAAGGAATACAACACAACAACACAAGTTGTTGGAGAGTAGGTTTAGATTAGACATCCGTAGGAACTACTTCACAGTTAGGGCAGCTAGGATCTGGAGCCAACTTCCAAGGGAAGTGGTGCTGGCTCCTACTCTGGGGGTCTTTAAGAAGCAGCTCGATGCCTACGTGGCTGGGGTCACTTGAGCCCAGTTTCCCTCCTGCCCAGGCAGGGGGCCGGACTTGAAGATCTACAAGGTCCCTTCTGACCCCACTTCTATGATTCTATGACAGTTGCTCCTTGTTCTGTCATCTGCCACCACTGAGAACAGCCTAGCTCCAGCCTCTCTGGAAGCACCCTTCAGGTAGTTGAAGTCTGCTATTAAATCCCCTCTCAGTTTTCTCTTCTGCAAACTAAATAAGCCCAGTTCCATCATCCTGTTCTCATAAGCTATGTCCCCCAGCCCCCTCACCATTTTTATTGCCCTTTGCTGGATTCTTTCCAATTTGTCCACATCCTTCCTATAGTGGAGGCCAAAAACAAACTACATTTTACTTCAGAGCATGCATTACTGTAAATAAATAATAGAAACTAAACAATAGTTGACCAAACGGTTGAACAACATTGCATTGGTACCATGTTATTCTTGCTGTCCATTTTTTGCTCATTCAACTCAAGCAAAAATGGGACATTCTCAGGCGTTCTCCTAGTCAATAGTGCAAACTAATCAATCCATTCTATTTTGCATTTTCCTACTTTGTACACCTTCATTCATTGGATAAATGCTTCCAGTTGGTCTATTAATCAATCACATCACCTGTGCTCCAGTGGGAATAGCATAGGAGTTCTGTTTTGAAAAGCTCTAAACAGGGACCTAGATTCTTCTCTGCAATGTGCCTAGTTTGAACGTCAGGGTGTTCTCCCCTGGCACAGAGCTGACCTCAGGGCTTCCATTCTATTCAGCTCCTTGCCTTATAAAGAGGACGGGCACTTGATCCCCACCTGCAGTGCCATCCATTCAGGGACATTGGCAGCCAGCATGAATATTAGAACATGCTGCAGGAGTACTTTTAATACTTTTCAGGGGACCAGTGTAGTGCACAGCCAGTCTGAGGATGAGTGAATGGCAGATGTTGCTTGGAGCTTTCTATGCATTTGCCTTCTCCTGAAACATGCTATGCACTTCTTGGCCACATATGAGGAACTAGGTCAGCATTTTGCACTGAAACAAACAGTATTTTCTCGCATACCATATACCGCCAAATAAAGTACCTTGTTTTTGAAAAGCAGAATACAGAAAAAAGATATTTCTTTGAAAATACTGGTAAGCATGGAATTTTTCCAGAGGAAAAAAACAGGCAGCTGCACTTGTAAGGAAGCAACACGTTACAACTGCTCTGTTAACCCCCTAGCTGAAGGATTTACAGGTGCTGCTGACTAAGTCAAACTACCCAACCTCCATTTTCTTCTCAAGCTTGTCTGGGTGGGCAGCCAGCAGCACCTGCCAGGTCATCTCAGGGCCCAATCCTAGCCAGTGGCACCTGAGGAGTCAGCTGAGGGCCAGCCAAATGATTCAGCCCCAGGACCTGGGGCTTAGCCTCTGCAGCATGAACCTCTGCTAGAGGAAAGAGACAGTGTCCGCAGCAACCAGCTAGAGCAGTGGTGCTCAACCTCCAGTCTGCAGGTCAAACGTGGCGTGCAGAGCTATTGCATCTGTCCCATGGGGCAGGAAATTTGGCAGCAGGGAAGTGGTGGCCCTTAATATGGTCACCCTCCCCCCACCAAATTCCCCAACCCCAAGCCCTGCACTTCCAGTCGCAGGCAGGCCATGCCCCTTGCCCCATACCTGGATCATCACTAGGCCATGCCCTCTTCTCCCCTCTGCGTGGCCGGGTTGGGGCCAAGCCATGCTCCCTTTTCCCTCTGCAAAGCCAAGCCACACCCTCTTTTCCCACAGAGGCAGATTGGGGCCAAGTCATATGGGGCCAGATTGTGGCTGGGCCATGCCCCTTCCCCCTGCAGGGCCAAGCCACACAGACGTGTAGCAACACAGAACACTCACAATTGGAAAATGAGTTGCCATTGATTACCACACTTATTTTATTTTGAATGGAGTTGGGAGGAGAACATATTATGTGTTTGCATGTAGCAGGTCAGCCTTGAAGTTCAGGGGATACTGGACTGAGAGGCTAGAGATCTGGGTTCTAGACCAGTGTTTCTCAATCCATGGATCACAACCCAAAAGCGGGTCACAAGAATATATGAAAGGGTTGTGAACAAGCTTTAAAAATAGATCAAATAACTTTGAAAATGGATTCTCCTTTAAAGGAGAAAAATATGGGAAACCAAAATTCCAGCCTGAGGGAGCTGCTTGGGGCCCACCTTGCGCTACATACCCACCCCCTTGCCCCACATGCTGGGGGCTGGAGCCTTGTGGCGGTGGGTAGCAGGTTGGGAGTGTGGGGTACAGGCAAGGCCAGGGGGCTGTATTCTACTTAAACTACTTACTGGGTTGGGACTGGTCGTCAATGTTTATAAATGGGTCCTGGTTAAAAAAAAAAAAAAAAAGGTTGAGAACCATTGTTCTAGACCATCTTTTGTTCAGTGGCTTCTTTTGTGACTGGGCAGGCCTTTGTTACCTTTCACACCCTTTCTCTTGTCAAGGGCTTTGAAGCACAGACACTGTGTATATAGTGTAGCTTCAGCCTCTCTAGGATTTTTACATGCTACCATATTGTCAGTAATAATAAGGTTGTTAGTAAATGCTGACTTTTTCATGCCAATCAATTGTACACTATCCTGGCAGGTAATGACAAGTTGCACATTTCTTATGGGTGAATTAGCTAATGAATTAGGCTTGTTGTAAGCCCTCATCTTTTCACAGAAAACCTAACCTTGTGTCGTGTATGTTTTTGCTTTCTGATTTCAGGATGAAATTTTGACTGTCATCAGGAGAGTAGATGATAACTGGGCGGAAGGAATGCTAGGAGACAAAATTGGCATTTTCCCCATCCTCTATGTTGAGGTAAGTTTGTAGTTACTTGGGTGTGCTTTCTTTTACCTTTGCTGTTTGTTTAAGCCAGCACCAGGTCAGAATAACCTTGGAGCCCCTTAAGAGGCAGACTAACTATTTGAGAATAACTGGAAAGAGAAACTTTTTTTCAGGTGTTTTGCTGTTAGCTACCCAATGAATACACTTTTATCCTCACCAGTTTAATTTTAAACCAGCTGACAGGATGTGCGCCTGTGAACTGTCAATGACTTCCAATCGGGAGCTTTTGGTTTAATCTCAACCATACAGATGGAAAATAGGAGAGGACAATCACAATAGGGGATTTTACTCTGCAGCTTGCTTTGCAGTCACCTTAGAAAAAGAATGTGCTGATAACTGCACTTTCCATCGCCCTGCATTCCATTTTCCATGGCGTTTCCTGTTCTTTGCCTTCTCTGCAAACTATTTATGGTTGTTATCAGAAAGCACAGTAGGAGCAACTGAAATAAGGGCCGGCTATGCTTTGAAAGCATAGCCCTTCACTGGGAGCAGTGTAGGGCCCACTGCCCTAGCAAGAGCTCTGGTGGCACACCCTCTGTGCCACCCTCTCATAGGTGACACTTGTTGAGATCCCCAGCTGATGTAAATCAGGACCGCTGTATTGATTTGAATGGAAGTACACTGGTTTACACTAGGTGAAAATATTTGGCCTAGTGTGTGCTCCTACCAAAACCCCAGCCAGCTCACCTTTGGGGTGATTAATAGAGCTATCCTGCAAAGGAGGCCAGCCTAATCGTGGGGGTCCCAACAGGGAGAAAAGACTCATGTATCGTACAAATGGAGGGTTTGAAAGTGTTCTGCACTAGCCTGTAGCAGGACATTGCTGTGCCTCTGCACCTCTTCTGTAAGACTTTCGTTATTATTTTTGTTAAATATTTTCATATTGCATGTATACTTGATATCTCCCTTGAAAGATTCTGCCTGTATTTTGAGCACTTTCCTTCCGCAGTTTTCATTTCAGAATATCAGTCTGCATCTGTTTTCCTCCTCACAAGCCAGTTCAATGCATCCTTCAGTGCAGGAAACTTCTATGCATCTCATGCTTGGGTAATTAATCTGTAGTGTGCCCTGCTGCTGTATGTCCAGTACACAGAACTGTCTTGGAATGGGCTTGATCTCCGATGCATGCTGGTATAAGTCCACTGGCTCCTGCAGAGTCATTCCTTACTTAACATCTGGAACTGACTGCAGAATCCAGCCCACTGTGTGCAGCGTTAATGTGATGTCCCTTAGAAATCAGTGCTTCTCTAAATTTCTTAGTTAATGACTTGAGACAAAACAAAGATAATTAGCACTGTAACTGCCTGATTATTAACTTTGACAATGACTAACTATAAGAAAGCCATTGTTAATATAAATTGGATTCAACAACTGGCAAGAACTATATTAAATGAGAATGGGTAGTCTCTGCTTGAAAAAAACATTTGTTTTGTAGAAACTAATGACTAGAGATTTTTCTTTCTTCGAAGTGTAAGAGCAGACTGGTAAACAAGGCAACTGAGCAGGACCTAAGCACATCAGCAACACAGACCTGAAATTCCCCCCCACTGGAAAGGCCACAAAATCCCTTAGGCAACTCAATTCATTCAGCACCTGCATTTTGGACTACAAAATTCCTTGTGTGCCTGAACTCAGGCTCCAAAGCACACCCAGACATACCCTGCATTGAGTACTGAGAGTCTGTAAATAGCTAGGCAGGAGCAGACAAACAGGTTACAGAACCAGTGGAAGACCTTACAGCTTTTTAAATGAACCTGAATGGGGAGCTGTGGAGTGCTCTCAGAATCAGAAATTTAATTGCTGCAGCGTGCTGCCTGCCTTATGCATCAGCTTTCATGAGTGTGCTTATAGAAAATGATCTTCAAGTGACTGTGCAAATTAATTAGTGTACTTTGCCCTGACTGCAGCTGCAAATTTCAGGTGAAGTAGTAGAGGAAAGTGCTGTATTCACCTGGAGAGTCTGAGTATAATCACCACTGAGGTGAGTCTTGTTACCACTGAGGGTGACTGTTTTCACATTCTGATATTTCTTCATATGGTAAATTAATGGGGATAGACTATCTAGATCTAGCCTTAATTTTTTACCAAAGAAATGCTTAAACACTAAAACATTCAGATATCTTGGGCTAAGATCTTGAAGACTGCCCATGAGATTATGGGTACCCATGATTTACCCATGTGAGTATTCTTTACTTATATGAGCAGTCCATTTGGACTGAATGGGATTGCTTCCATGGATCTGTCTGGGTACTGATATCATGCTGCTTACAATGGAATCTTCAAGGACTACTGATGGGAATAAGTACTGATGGATTTTAAAACACTAGGCTCTCACTAGGTAATTCAAATTCCTACTACCCATCTCCACTGACTGCCCAGGAGTCTGGAACACCCCTAAGGCATGGGCAGCATTCCCTACCTTGAAATAATGGTTTCTAATGTCCAAGCCTACTATTGCTGGACAAATAGGCCGTGTCCACATGTGGTGTGGACCTTTGGTTCCCCAGGGACAACTAGCGCCTCCACACCTTGTGCCACTGCTAGTTGTCCCTGGGGAACGCCCATGCCACATGTGCTTTGGTGCTCAGTAAGTCACCCTGGGTGGAGTAGAGGAGGCTGGGGCCAGCAGCCTTACCTGGGGTCCTGAGGGCTACCCGGAGCTGCAACCACGACAATTCTGTCATACAGAGCCTGGCTGGCAGCCGCAACAGAGCTCCAGGTAGCTTGGCTCTGCTTTTGAGTGGTACATGCTGCCCTCATGTGCGTCACTCCACTTTTTTTTTCCGCAGGTTTTTTTGACCCCTGAATATCCAGGGGTCAGAAAAACCCACTGCACTGCTCCGCTGCAGCATAGAGAACAACTGAATATATGGTACGTGACACTACAGATGCATAGGCGGTGGAAGGAGGGCTACTGGGGCTCAGCCCCCACAAATGCAGGGCAGCAGGTATGGCCACAGGGCATCTTGGCTGCAGGCTCCCGGCTGCTGCAGCACTGGGGAGAGGAGTACACACTAAGAGATGTAGCTGGAATTACAGCCAGCCAGGATTGTAGCCCGTGTGTGTGGCTGCCCAGCATGGCAGGCAAGTTTTAGTCTACTTTCTTTATGAAGGGGAAGGGGATTTGAGGGAGCAGATAGAGACCCCCACAGTGCAGGAGGGAGTGGGGCAGGGGCAGGGGTGAAAGGGGCCCCAGCTGGGCCAGAGCATGGGATGATTGAAGCCCGGCAGTGCATCCAGAGGCATGGGGAGTCTCCTGCCACTGCGCGCACCGCAGGGGAACAATTTTGCCCCATTCAAGATCTTCTCTGCCTGAGAGGAGGAAGAGAGCAGCATCAAAGCAATATTGTAACTGAGCAGCAAAGAGCATTAAAAATTAATAAATCAACATGTATCTTCCTTTTGCAGTCCTTTAGGACTCCTGGATCTCTGCAGTATCATTTGCGGTTATATATGAAGCCATGACATTTACCGTACAGTATGGTTCTTTGTACTCCTTTACATTTCTAAGGGCTATTGTTGAACCATCCAGTCTGACATGGCAGGAAGTGTGATTGTGGCATTAGAGCCCATTGTGCCTTATCACCGCTGCAGGTGGAGCCTGATTCTGGGCTTCCCCTGTACCAGCAAGAAGATGGCAGCTGGAGTGATCTCCCAGCTTTGGGAGTGCATGAAATACCTGGGTCTGGGAGAGCACAGCTGCTGTGTCTTGCAGAACCAGGGACTCCACACACCTCTGGAGATGGGAGATTGAAGCCACAAACTGCCAGGACCCACTGGCATGGATCCCAGCATGGGGAGGCAAACATCAGGGACCCAGCATTCACAGCTAAAGGACCCTGGGAGCTACAGGGTGTTGCCAGGACCCAGAGTTAGCAGCTGTTGGAGCTGAGAGTCCTCTCAGTTGTGGGTCTCCTAGTCGCAGCTAGACATGTGTCGTGGAAACACACGCAGCATACTTTTGGGTCAGGTCAGCAGAAGCTTTTATTCAAAAGAAACTACAGCTGTAGGGGGGATTCCAAAGTGACATGGATCTCCCAAGCACTTGGAAGGGGTCCCCCCCCAAGAGCAAAATCAGGAGGCTTATATACTTTTTAACAGTTGCTTACAACTCACGTGATCATATAGTGAAATTAGCATGAAAAGCGGCTATAACATTATTTTATTATTTCTTTGCTGTAATCAGGATGGGAACTAATGGGGGAGGCGAGGTTAGTTCACAAACCTCCTTCTTGCACCTGCAAATCAGAGTTGTACATACTTTTTGCTATCTTCAAGGCCGCGGTGAGCGAAGCAGTTGCAGAGGAGTTACAAAGAACAAACACTTTCTCTTATCTGTTCTACTATACAGAGCCAGCAATTCTCCACAAAACGGTTATGTCATCTTATAACTAAAATAGTCAAAGTTTAAGGCGCATATTTTTTCTGATTCCACAGTTCCCCCCCCTTTGAGACTATTTAGTCTCACTTTACCCTTAAATTTTTATTCTCATGAGCCCCTCTATTTCATCATGCAGCCTTTCATGTTTTCTTTCAATCTGCTCACACTTTTGTAACACCATTATTCTAGACTCTGCTGTGGGTTTTCTTGCCTTGCTAAAGCTTCTCCTGCTGGCTTTCACGCAGCAGAGGATCAGTTGCACTAAGACATAAAACATTATCAGAACTATCAAGACAAACAATATTCCATACAGGATTTTCTTGCCAAGGGCCCCGGAATCTGGGAGCCAGGAGGTTAGCCAAGACCACATTTCTTTTAGACCCCAGTCAGTATTTTCTGAGGCCACCTGATGTAAGACCCTTAACTGACTTCGGATTTTACGAATGTCAGTTTCAATTCGCATGTCCTGATTGACATAGACACAACAGGTGGAGTTTACTAAGGCACATACTCCTCCCTGGGATACCAATAGGTAATCTAGGGCTACGCGGTGTTGTATAGTTACTTGTGAGATCTGGGAGATCTCTTCTTG